GAAACGCCAGCATAGGAACCTTCTGAGATTTTGTATTCTAGTAGTTTATTCATCCCTTGATTTGGTGAAATAAAAACCATTTACCCACCAAAGATGGTTTGGGTCGTTTTTTGACGCAGCGTGGGCGTGCCCGTTGTTTATTGAACCCACAAACTCCGCCTCGAATCCGGGTGCTAGGAACTTTGCGGTGGTATAACTCGATACGCCTACATAGAAAGTTAATGAAATTTGGCTTGTACATGCATTATGTACCTGTCCAGTTGGTGAAATAAAGATATTGAAGCCACCAATGCTAGTTTAGAAGTTGTTGTGTGCGCATGCAGTCAGCCTACCCCATCCCGATTCCCCCATATGTTTAATATGTTTACGGTAATATATCTCGAAACACCAACATAGGAGCCTTCTGAAATTTTGGATTCCAGTAGTTTATTCATCTCTTGATTCCGTAAAACAAAAAACATTTTCCCACCAAAGCTGGTTGGGGTACTTTTTGCATGCTCAGTTAGCCTATTGTGCGATATTTTAGTATGTTTACGGTAATAGTACATTTAGGGGTGTGGGGGGGGGGGGGGATCGGGGGATCTATTACATAATACTTTGCATTAATATGTTTTAAAATTTTATTTTCTAATATAAAGGTAACAATTAGTTTCGTGATAATTATATCTAGGTTTTTCTTGGCGCTAGGAATACGTGGGCTTACTGGAATACGGTGAAAGAATATGTCTGCTAATTTGATCTTGAATCCGTGTGCTGGAATACGGTGAGAATATGTCTGCTAACTTGATCTCGAATCATGGTGCTGGAATACGGTTAGAGAATATATGTCTGCCAACTTGATCTCGAATCGGCGTGCTGGAGTACGCTAAGAATTATTTCTGCTAACTAGATCTCGAATCCGGGTGCTGGAATACGGGTGAGAGATTCCGCTCGGTCATTTTTACAGCTAATAAATCTCCACAACTCTCCCTCTTGCATAATTTATGGCATTGTTTTTCATATAAATAGTAACTGGTGAGCGAAGATCACAACATTGTTTGGAGTAAGGCACAAATGAATAAATATTTAACCCAATTCACTCGCTTGCTTTCATTTTCAACATTATCAGGCTAACAAAATTGCGTGATATTCACACATGTCACCGGAAGTCCAATTTCTCGTGAAATCTCGCAATTTTGCGGGATTTACTTATCGGCCCTATCCGACTGCTATGATAACACGTCATTACGTCGTCACAGAGTAAAAATACATAGAGTGGCGACTCGCATTACCGCTCATAGAAACACAGCGACGCGCAATGCATCTTGTGAATTGTCTGTAATAAACACACACTGACAGTTCGCTCAACGACGTTACGATATCTATATCGATGAACTAAATCTCTTTAATTTCGTAGTTTTATAGTATTTTCGGTAACAAAACTACTGAGAATTATCACATACAATCATAATATGTTAGTTGTGTGTGTGTTTCGGGAATTTATAAAACATGATTCATATTTCTAAAACATGCATAAAGCGTGGTACGGCCCGGAATTAATGAAGTGAGACTGAGACGAGAGACGGCATTTGTGACGGTTTACGAATTGGTTTATTCAAGGCCGTAAATTATTGTCGATTTTTACGAGGCTTTATTAAATTTGAAACTATTCCACCAAATACCTGTTGTTTCCATTCCTAGATTTGAAATGTAGGTCGGGTGTTCGATCCCTGCATTGGCCGAGAAAGTTCATCCAGATTTTCCGGCGTGGTTCTCCCTTGTCAGTGATGCAGGACGGAGGGGCTGACAAGGAAAGCTGTCTAGTCGTTCGGATGGGACGAAAAACCGAGGTCCCGTGTACACATTGGCGTGCACGTAAAAGATCCCTTGGCAGTTGGAATTCGATATAAGAGTAGGCCGAAGTGCCGCTGTCCGGGCAAAATTTCCCTCATAGCACACACTGTATGGCGTATGCCCGTCTTCATTAGCCCAGGTTAGGAGCAGAACAGTAGGACGTTAAACCCCATTTCATTTCATTTCATCCTGGAAACATGTGTGAAGTGAAACGTAACTGTGTTCCATAAAATTGTGTCTAGTTAGCCTGTCAGTGTCAGTAATATTTTGTTAATTTTTTTCTGCCACTTATCAGAGTGAATCGCATGTAGGTACCCAAAAACATTATCGCCTAAACCAAATATTTATCGCCCGCTCAGCCAACAACGTAACCATAATGCTTTGCACGCGGTGTCTTGGTAGACAGCATGGCCACATGGTGTTTGTTTATATTTTTTAGGGGTTTTAAAAATGGGTTAGGGTTAGGGTTAGGGGTTAGGGTTGCGCCCCCCCCCCCAACATGTATTTCACGGCTACGCCTCTGACTGTGTGCTTCTCGTATATATGTTATGTTAATAAAGTAAGCTTTCATTAAAATATAAAATAGTAATTTAAGAATATTAAAATTGAATTTCAAATAGGCATATAATGTTTTCCAATAAACAGATTTGAGCCGTTGGTTGTTTTCCAAGATAAAATACCTTTGGATCCAACGTTGACTCGCCGTGTGCTTTTATGATTTTTGTTCTATTAATTAATGTAGGGCGTAGGCTTTCATTTTTAAAAAGTAAAATAATTAAAGATATTGAAATTCTATTTTAAATAGGCCTATAACATTTTTCAATAAACATTTTTTGAGTTGATTGGTTTCTCTTTTTACAAACAAGTATAAACCCAAAACAACTTGAGAATGAATATTTTGCATATTGCTCTGGGTGTCATGTATTGTTTTGACGGCCTTTATAGGCCACCTAATACTATGAAATTGTCAATTTTACACTACTGCACAAGAATATATTGAATTATTATAAATATGAAGTTTGCTCTAGATATCTATCTCATTAGGTCTGATCTGTGTTCAGAGTTACTTTTATTTTTGCGATTTTTTTGTCAACTGATTATTTTGAAAAAGAAAATTTAATTTATGCTGTGTACTATTATGGAATTATCTGCCATACAAACTGAAGTTAACCATACAGCATACTATTACTAGATAATCACCGAGTAAATTAAAATTATTTTGAATTACTGAATGGTTTAAAATTAGTGATAGTGCTTCAGTAAATACATGTATTTTATTGGTCGGATTAAGGCCTACCAGTAAAAGGGGAAATGTGATTTTTAATAGCATAACAGTATTAGGCTTACTGTTTTATTAAAAGCTTATTGCAACTGAAAATTGAGCAAAATAATATTTTTAAAAAAATTGGAAAGGTATATTTCAGATACCATAAACTTAACACTTTGTTTACCACAAGTAATTGTAGGCCTACATAGATAGAATAACATTTTTCGATAAACAATCATAGAAAAAATTAAGCTTGTCCATTATCCTTTTGCCAGAATACAACAGATTCTTCAGAAAATATAGTTAGTTCCCTCGCACATGATTCTTTTTCAATTGCTTTTAATGATAACATATGAATCTAAATTTATTTTATTCGGTAGACTGAAGGCCTATTATTGTGTTTGTAGATTTTATTTGTTTTTACAAAAACTATAGAATGTTAAAAGAACATGTGCAACTACAGACAGTAAAGCTTACTATTTAAAATTTAATCCTTTAAAAATCACATCTACATGTAATTCTAAAATTACGAAAATACTAGATAGCATGCGATAAAGAATGCAAGGAATAATTTGGTTTACATCGAAGCGCAACTACTACTAAAAAAAACAGGGCCTACAATTTAAATTACCGGCCATTAATACGTTTATTAGACCTATGACATGTCATGGAGTCAGGTGGCGCGGTTTCGATTCCCCGCTTGTACGAGACAAGGAGTAGGGTCGCCTGTCCAACCTCGTGGGTTTTCTCCGAGCCCCCCAGTTTCCTCTCATCAATCAAGTGAATTATTGAAATAAAACTGAACCATGTTAGTCCCGAAATTACCTAGTTTGTGTCGAGTGGACGTTAAACTAAATTTCTTTCTAGTCTCTGAAGTCTAGAAGGCAAAAAGGTTTTATCTCCCAAATTACTATTTAAATTTCATTGTTCACTTTACCCGTCTGGACAAAAAATCTGATTTTTAAAAGCGTATGCAAGTTAAAGATATTTAATAGCGCTTTTATCTGGTGTATCTTTCATTTCATTTTCTTATGAATTAGACTATATTATAACAATCATGTTCGCTTTTTTGTTGCATAATAATAATAATAGTTTGTTCAGCTATACTCTTCGTTTAAAAAATGTATGGGGCAGCCATCTTCGACACAACAGTATGCTAGACCATAAAATAGATAGTGAGTAGGTACAAATACTTGGGACCCAAGATGGCGTCTTTGTACACCTGACGTCATATTTTCATGACGTCATAGGAAATTTCTGGCTTCACAGTTGTCGCAACATTATTTACATACATACGGCTTTGGTTCTAGGTATTTGTGAGCACGACTGCTATGATATGACGTCATTACGTTATGCTAGGTTTTTGCTCGTGGAATTCAGCTTGAACAGTCGTAATTAGTTGTTCCCACAGGCGTAATGTAGTCTTGTATTGTCACAGGAGAAGTCGACGAGGAAGGCTTTTGAAAATTGTGTATACAAAATGTCGTAAAGCCAATAAGTCTGATTTTGTATGTGTAATCGGTGTTATTCGGACACAAAAATCGAAACAGTTTGATGGGGCTTTATGCTGTTTAGACCTGTTGTTGCTACGAACCTTCCTGCGAAACCCATCACCTCAGAGCGTTTTAATCCTCCAAATATTAATCATCTACTATTTGTCATATTCATGGCTCCTAATTTTGATCAAATGGTGACGCGACGAATGCTGCCTACCTTTTCTAGAATATAAGTTCTCATTTATTTGGTAAAGCCAGGGCTAATACGTTTTGTAGAATATCTAATACTTCCGTGCCGTTGTGTCTATATAGTAGATTCCCTTACTCGGAAATAAGATTGCTAATTGTTGCTTATCTTATCCTATTCCAAAACTGGCAAACTGTTGAATCAGTAATATACTTACCTGTGAATATTTGTAGTTCACATATGTATAAATATTGACGTTTTATTGAAACAAAAACAAATCTAGCCGATAATGATGGTACAGATGGTTGATTACATCTGTCTATGGTATAAATAGATTGTCCTGTTGATGTATGATCTTTATAACATGCTGTAGCTGAAATAAAACCTCCTTCATCACAGTTACCAGTTGAACTCAATCTAACTTCAAATCCTTTGATGTTGTTAGTACCTGGAAACAATATGAATTGTATGTAACTCACTCAGTGGGGCTTGTATCACATTTAACAACAATTTAAAAACAATATGAAATGTATGTAATAATAATGTGATAATGCTGAAAATAATCAGAAATTATATCCTTGCCACATTTACTATTTGTTTAACCCACTCTATTAATAATAATATCAACACTTTTAAAGTAATTGAAACATCCACAAATCTTATTCGGCATATTTTAACCAATAAATTGGGTGGGAATTTAAGACTATGGATCTTACAACACTTACAAAGGACCGTCATTGCAGGAGCAATAACTTAACAAACTTAATATCATGTTTTATGAAACAAATGCTTTGTTTTTTAATCAATCAGTTACATCTATTTCCACATCTAAAAACAACAAAGTAAAAATTGTGTTGATTGAACTGGATATATTGTAAACTATTGTTCTAATATTTAATCATCAGATATCATTCTGCTTTCAGGCATTAAGTTTCAAAAGGTAAACTGAGAAGTCGTTACTATGCTCTATTGAATGTGGCAGTCCCATTTAGTTATAATCTTACGTACCCCCATCTATTCTGTTAAATATCTTCATACTACTGATATCAAAACTCTGTTTTAGATCAACACACAACCATTCTCTTGCTTTCTTGTTATTAGTGGACGTACAACTTCCACCAGACCACCACTGATAAGTATTACCATCTACAACTCTAGATGAAACGCCACTTCTATATGTTGAACTTTGCCATGTTGGTTTATTAAGTGCCACATTAAAGGAACCTAAACCTGAAATTATATTGAAGACATTCATGGTAGTTTGGGTGTATAAAGTAGTCACCCTATCAGGAATTTGCAAGGCACTTAATTAGGATTGTGTAGGCATGTTTATCAACTCATCATCCACCCCTTGTCCGATGTTGATTCGATTAGGTGGCAACCCCCTAAATAGTTTGTAAATGTTTATCAGTTTTTGTGACGCACGCTCTCCAATTGTAACAGACGGATAGCAGCCTCCATAACTGTACGTTCAAAACACTTGGCTAAACCTTGTTTAATTTCTACATCATGATCCCATTCATAATTTTTGTCTAAATCGTGGTAAATCGTTATCAGTTTTTCTGACGTATTACCCGAAGCGCTCGCAATACAAATGTTTCGGACGGTATCAGCCTCCATAACTGTACGTTCACAACACTTAAGTAAACCTTGTTTAATTTCTATGATCCGGTCCATATTTCAGGCCTAAGAACAGACTCTTGCATAATGCATGTTTAATAAAAATTGTTGACAAGTTTGACCCTATATCCGATCACCTTAAAATGTAGGGGTATAGTTTTTAAAATGTAAGTATTCCGCGTGGTGTACAATACCCACCATATGTAGAGATGTGAAATAACTAGGATCACGTACTGAAATATGGAGATGGTAGTACTGTTCCTTCCGAGAGAAGGTAGTGGTTCGTGTTCAGAAAAATAATAATAATAATATCTTTTGTATGTATAGTTTAATGGTAATATATTACGCAATGTCTTTAGCTCGAGACCATAAAACAACTTAAAATACACACATTGTCCCGCACGTGCTTTTCAATGAGATACGTCAAGCGAGTCTAATATTTCATCTAGTATAGATAATGTACGATTGGGAAGTTGCCCGTGTATTATTGGAAATAATGGTACGCCAACATCAAAGGATGACGTCACATCTGGATAATTGCTCGATAGTTTCCACCAAATAACTTAATTATCGAACTTATCACGTTAATGCATTGTTTATACTGTCGCCATTAGGTTTAATTGAATTGAAGGCAAAATCACAATGGATAGTAATGCGTTATTAGACGAAAAATCAATTCTTTTTAGCCAACATCTCGACGGTGGAATATATGTGAATGTAAATTACGACGAGGATCTACTAGTTGCTTGTCAAAGGCTGGACAAAAATTTGGATCAAAAGACAATCTTTTCCGATAATTCTGACAGTGAACAGTGAAAGTTTTGTTCAGAGAAGGATTTCACGGTCTACGAAAAGTGGACTGTACTCAAAATTTACAAAGGAACTCGTGGGCTATAAATACTTTCAAGTCTTGGAGTATGCGGAGAAATAATAGAAATGTGGACGAAAAGAACCTTCTGAAAGATAACTTAGACATGAATAACCCATCTAAATATGCCGATAACTACGCCGTCTATTCCGGTGCAGAATGCTACAAACTGTACCATCAAATTAAGAATAAAAAAAATATTTCTCTGATCTTTGTACTATTTCTATCATCAACGTCATCAGCGGTTAATGATATGAACCGAGTGTATCGACCTATGATGACGTCATAACAGGTTGATATATGATATAACACATCAAAGAAAAAACCACCACCAGTTGTATATTCTGTACATATTCAGAATTCCTGAATTATGGCCCCTGATTGTACGACAAAATCGCGATTTTAGCTTGTTGTCCTCTAGAGGTCACACTTTTTATCGGATTATAAAAATCGTTTAAATATATCATCGCTACAAGTAAAAGTATGTAACACCAAGGTTGTGGACACGCTAGGACGTTAAACCTCATTTCATTCCATTTCTATAGCTATGTATAAATGTACAAATTATTTATAAAAACTGTTGACAAGTTTGACGCAATATGCGAACACCTTGTACATTGTTTGTGTATTTCTCAAATGTAGATCCATGCCAGAGACAACAATAACACACTCACCGTAATCATTGATTATTTATTTCTCCAATGTAAATACATGTATCTATATCTGACAGGGAGAGGAGTTTAATATAGGTCATGGCTGTTGCCCAATCCTTGCTAAAAAAAAACACTTTTCGCGGAACTTGTCTAGGAAACAGCAATTGGAAACTGGTCGATAATTGTACAGCGTGTTAGGATCTAGTCCAAGTTTTTTTAATGAGGGAGGCGGACAACGGCAGCTTTACCGTTGGCGGAGAAAATCCCAGATTCAAACGATGTATTAAATATTCGTAATAATTCAGGTGCCAATTCATCAATACAGTTCTTTACCAATTCAATAGGCTTAGGATCTAATTCACATGATTTCGACGGCATTTTTCGTACAATAGATGTGACCTTTGGGACATGCAAAAAAATATTTCCCGTTAATATTTACCCCCTTCCAAGTGGGGAGTATATCGCATGTTATTATACGAATCAATAATTGTATATATCGAGGTTACAGACTTTTGCTAGGAGAGACTGACATTCCTGGTATCTAGAAGCCCAGGTCTGATTCAAGTTTATTTATTTCATATGTAGGAACTGATCACTGCCTAATTTACCCTGGCGCAAGTGGCGCGATCGTATTTCGAGCTATTATTATATTTTTGTCCCAAATCAGCCACCGTAGATGGGTGATCCACGTGTATATTGAAATCACCAACGATCATTAGATAACCAGGAGAAAGAATGATACTTTCTAATAGTGTACCAAATTCCAATAAGAAATTTGTACTTTCACTTTATGTTGTTTAGAGTATGGGGGTATATAAATAGTTACAGCGTGTATCATGGTGCTATCAACGTAAATATTTACATCCATTATGTCAAACGATTTGAATTCCAGTATTCCTTTTAAACTTCAGATTAGTTCTGACCAGGATGACAATGCCGCCACCTATCTGCTTATAGCGCGGAACATGTAGGGCGGTGTACCCAGATCGAGGAAGATAAGTCCGCATAAACAAGGGTTTCGTTCTTCTCAGTTCGTTATCATGGAGGCCGTTAGTGCTCCTATCTTTCCGTTCATCGACCGAGCATTCCATATATTATTGGGAGGTTAACGTGTGCGCGCTGTATCATAAGGTCTGTCATTGAGTCAACTGGCGTGGTTTCGATTCTCCGGTTTTACGTGACAAGGAGTTTGGTCGCCTGTACAACATCGTGGGTTTTCTCCACTGGTAAAGATCCCTGCGCGCAAGCGAATTATTGAAATAAAGTTGAATCATGTTAGTCCCGAAATGACCTAGTTTGTGTTGAGTGGATGTTAAACCCCTCCCTCTCTCTCTCTCTCTCGTACTATTATTATTGATCAGATTTCCTTCTTAATGGTTTGTGACTCACAACAGTTTTTGGGATTGATTCTAAAAACTGTTAATTTGAATCCAAAGTGTTTTGGTCTCTGAACTCCAATAATTGATCTCTGCTGTATCTCACTGAAGTGGTTCCTGGGTTAGTAATCACACACATATTGATAACTAAACTAGTTGACACATCTCACCCAGAAATAAAATTTTCATGTTTCAGTAATCCTTCAAGAGTTATTTGTAATTTATAGATGCAAATAACTGATAAATTTTGTATTTTTGTTTAACAATAAGCTTCTATATTGTTAGATATTTGATGTCAACATTTTATCTATAAACATTGTACCAACTATAAAAATGATTTATTAAATATATAAAACTTACCCAATACAAAATATACATAACTGAATATAATACAATGTTTAATAATAGAATGCTTAATATGAATATCTATCATGTATTCTTAGTCTTATGATACCAGTTTGTTTATTATGCAGGAACCAAGGTGGCTAAGTGTGTAAGACACTGGCCCGCTAGCTCGGAGGTCGCGTGTTCGATCCATGCATTGGCCGAGAAAGTTCATCAGGATTTTTCGTGGTTTCCCCTTGTCAGTGGTGCAGGACGGAGGACCTGACAAGGACATCTGTGTTGTCATTTAGATGGGACGAAAAAACGAAGTCCTTTGTACACATTGGCGTGCACGTAAAAGATCCCTTGGCAGGTAGAATTCGATATATGGGTAGGTCATAGTGCCGCTGCCTAGGCAAAATTTCCCTCGCAGCCCACTGTATGCCCTATGCCCGTCTTCTCGGAGCAGAACAGTAGGACGTTGAACCCCATTTTATTTGATTATTATTCTATCTATTTTCAGAAAGAATATGAGAAACGAGAATAAATTTTAGCTGACAAAGTATCCAATAAACAACAAGAAAAATTAGACATGCAGACAAAGGTAGATTTCTTTTTATAAAACAAATCTGGTTTTATTTTCACATCAGTCGAGTGATAATATCAAATTGTATTTTTCTTGGATCCAATATTTATGATGAATTAGTGGATAGTGCCAGTAATATATCCCTTGGTAGTTTAGAGCATGAATGAAAAGTAGTCAGAAACTTTGTAGTTTGGGCAAAACTCACCCCTAAGCATACAATTTACAATAGAGAAAGGGTACTGATTACCTTTATACATTAGTATTAAAAGTACATATGACATTAAACCTTAATAAACCTTCAAAATTATCCCTCACAAAGAATTCATAAAGCCGTAGTTAGTATTTACGAAGATTAAATGAATGATTTAAAACGGGAATCTACTAATAATGAAATTTTAAATTGATTGTTGACATAGCAACCCTTGTTATCAATGTTTATGATTTGTAGATAATGGAAGTACAAGCTAAATTAGAAAATAAGAAAACAGATATAGAGAAATTAGTTGATAAAGAAAACAAAATTCATGCCGATTTCCTCAACTCTCTTGGTGAAAGCAATAAATTTGTGGATTATCTGACCAAAGTGTTCAAAAAGAAAATCAAGAAATGTTATATAAACTATTAATTAGACATTTATTAACAAAACCACAAGACCATTATCAAATCTCGATGGCATCGGATACTCGAGATTTTAGCTAGATTAAAACGGTTCGCCATTTAAAGATTTAATTTAAAAATGGGAAAGCGAGTCTAAGCCGCTAATATGCCAGTGCTCTGGTTACCACTATGCACAAATCTTGTCA